GTCCATATAAGCGCGGGATGACTAAACCCATGGGACGCATGTGATTATATAAATCTTGGGTTATTATCCCCTTATTCTTAAGATTTTTAACAACATCTGTTAGCTGTTTTTCGATTTGTAATGTTTTATCAACTTCTTTAGGTTTGGAGAATTTAGTACCATCCTCTAGAATTAACTTCATTTTATCCAAATATTCTTTGCGGTCAAGTAGTACTACACCAGCTCCTTTGTCAGGTTTACTTAGGATTAAATCCTTATTTCTTTTCAACAGTATTAGCTGATCCAAGTGGTTCTTAGTTAATAGGTTATTCTTACTACAATGTGCATTAACGAATCCATGACTGCAGTCCAGTAATGTGGACTTAAAGTGCTGGAGATTTTGTGGAGATGTCGGCATAAGATCATGAGTTTGATTTGATAGATTTTCGAATTGTATTTGTGTATGAAGTCTACTGGTTTTGGAGGTGCTGTTACAGAACTTGGGACCCAATGATAAGGCCTGCATTTGGACTGGCGAAAGTTTAATAGAAGAATGATTAAATACATACTTTTCTGGATGTTCTGGAAACTTTTTAGTCACGTCTACGTGTTGCAATGTTTCCAAGTGTTTACGTTTAGCTTTTTGTGACTGTTTTTCTGTAACATTAGTAACATAGTCCTCAAATTGTTTACGTTCATCTAACGACAATTCAAACAATGCGTGACTTCTTAGAGATATGTTGCGATCTAGTTCGACTTTTCGAGTTTTGATAGCATCGATATAATTGAGTGCATGACGTTTGAGTGTTTTTGCATTGGGATGAATATGGTTTCGCCTTAATGCCTTCCAGAAACGTTTAGGATAGTCATTATTTTCGATACAGCTTTCAAGAAAATTGATCTCACATTTCACTAACGCAAGCTTGACGGTGTAACGTAAGAACTCATTGAGCCATTTCATCGTCATAAGGTCCTTGCATTTCTTCAATTGACAGATAATTCCCATTTAAACATTAAAATTAAAACACGATGAACGTAAACAATTTGAGGACTATGTTACTAATGTTACAGAAAAACAGTCACAAAAAGCTAAACGTAAACACTTGGAAACATTGCAACACGTAGACGTGACTAAAAAGTTTCCAGAACATCCAGAAAAGTATGTATTTAATCATTCTTCTATTAAACTTTCGCCAGTCCAAATGCAGGCCTTATCATTGGGTCCCAAGTTCTGTAACAGCACCTCCAAAACCAGTAGACTTCATACACAAATACAATTCGAAAATCTATCAAATCAAACTCATGATCTTATGCCGACATCTCCACAAAATCTCCAGCACTTTAAGTCCACATTACTGGACTGCAGTCATGGATTCGTTAATGCACATTGTAGTAAGAATAACCTATTAACTAAGAACCACTTGGATCAGCTAATACTGTTGAAAAGAAATAAGGATTTAATCCTAAGTAAACCTGACAAAGGAGCTGGTGTAGTACTACTTAACCGCAAAGAATATTTGGATAAAATGAAGTTAATTCTAGAGGATGGTACTAAATTCTCCAAACCTAAAGAAGTTGATAAAACATTACAAATCGAAAAACAGCTAACAGATGTTGTTAAAAATCTTAAGAATAAGGGGATAATAACCCAAGATTTATATAATCACATGCGTTCCATGGGTTTAGTCATCCCGCGCTTATATGGACTACCGAAAATACATAAGCTGGGTTTACCGTTACGACCTATTTTGGACATGTCAAGTTCTCCATACCACAGAATCGCCAAATGGTTAGCAGAAAAATTGGAACCGGTTAGAAGGCAAGTATGTAAACATTCTATTCATGATACTTTTCAATTTATTGATCGTATTAAGGACGTTAATGCTTCCGAAAAACACATGTTCTCGCTTGACGTTAATTCTTTGTTCATTAGCGTACCTTTAACCGAAACAATATGTTATTTATGTGAATATATTAATTCTAACAATATAGATCTAGGTTTACCAACTGAACATTTGAAAGAATTATTGTTACGCTGTACTTTTAATGTCCAGTTCAGTTTCAATAATGAAATATATAGACAAAGGGATGGGATCGCAATGGGGTCTCCATTGGGTCCAATTTTAGCAGACTGTTTCATGGCAAAAGTAGAAAACGACCAACTCCGTTCAATGATCAATCGATTCCACCTGTACGTGAGATACATGGACGACACGTTTGTTGTTTGTGACAATAATATTGATTTAGATGATATTCTACATACCTTTAACTCGTGCCACCCTTCCATAAACGTCACGTTAGAAAGGGAACAAGACCAATCAATTTTTTTTCTCGATGTACGTCTGGTGAGAACGAGTAATGGTTCTTTAAAAAGATCCATCTTTAGAAAACAAACATGGAATGGCCAGCTAACTAACTTCTATAGCTGGGTTCCGTTAAGTAGGAAGAGAAACCTTATCCATTCTTTATGCCATCGCATACATCACATATGCAGTACGGAATGCATTAACGAAGAACTCGCATTCCTGAAGAAGACTTTGACGGAAAATGGTTACCCAGAACGGTTCATAGAAAAGAATATGAATAAAAGTAGTCGCGAGAAGAATTCTAGTTGTTCCGTTCCAAAGAAAAACCTTTATATAAGTCTGGAATTTAAAGGTGACCGAACATCGGACGTAATCAAAAACCGTCTAACAACAACTATTAGGAGAACATTTAACGCGGCAAAACTGCGAATATCCTTCACTAGTAGAAACTTATTTTCTGTATCCATAAAAGATAAGCTTCCGCGTCTGGTCGCCTCCATGTGCATCTACCAGTTCACCTGCTCTTGTGGAGCAAGGTACATTGGCCGTAGCCAGCGCTCGCTTTCAACTCGGATACGAGAACATATCCCAGCCTGGTTCTATAAGGGTGAAAGGAAAGCAGTTAGGAGTTCTATTCTTGAACACCTAATTGACTATAACCATTCAACAGATCCACAAATTGATTTTAAGGTTGTTTATATGATTCGTTCAAATCTACCCAGATTTCTTCGTATACAACTTTTAAAAATAGCCGAAGCTCTTGCCATCCAGGAGCTTAAACCAGAACTATGCGTACAAAAGAAGTACGTCTTATCGTTATCGTTACCTTGGTCTTAATTAGTTTGATTATCCTACCATTAATGTTATTATTATTATTATTATTATTATTATTATTATTATTATTATTATTATTATTATTATTATTATTATTATTACTGCATTCCCCCTTTACTTATGTCTTATATTCTCATTGTTTTATTCATGAACACTCATCATATCAGTTTATTTTTGTACACCTCTATGACCTTTAATTATTATAACAAAAACATTTGAATCATCTTATTATAATCACTAAATCTATTGTTATTGTTATTATTCATATTACGTAATCTAGTATTATAACCCCTTTATATTAACTGTGTTCACATTTCCTCACGGAATTAGTACTTTTACAAAAACAAAAAATATTGGAACTTTGTTGTTTAAGACATTGACAGAATAGAATTCAGTGGAAGTCTCGCTATAATTTCTTTCTACATTCTTTATAAAAGCGAGATGAACCTCTTTTAATTAATTAACTCTGGTTATATTTTTAAGAAAATGAATTATTTCTACCACTATGCAATACTTTAGTTAGCGATGGAGTAGGTGGATCCATTCTTTGTCTTCCGAATTCTAGGCCTTTGAATTACTCATAACTTTTTTGTGTTTACGTTTCGCTAATTCGTATTTTCTTGAATCGTATCTTTGATGCCTAATCTTTTCGATCACCACTGATACTGTTACTACTTCTTCTATTCTGGGATTTGGTCTGACAATTCCATCTACGACATCTCTGCTAATAAGTTATGCCAACTTGGATCGATCTACATACGTACCAGGTTCTGCATTATGACTGACTGACTGACTTTCAGTCACTTATTTTCACTCATCTAATTATTTTGGATTATATTGACGCTCCATCTATCTCTTTACAATTTCACTCACTCATTTGTGTAACGTATATTTATCGTGTTGGTCATTTTTATCAATATTTATGTCCAAATAAATAAGTGATTATGGTGATAAAATATGATTTCACAATAGCATGTTAAATTATTGTACTATGCCATCCACCAAGGTAGACGAAAATAATTTAATGTGTAAAGATCTGTAAGAATCGTAGTAATATGAGCAAAAGCAGCCCGACATTTGATAAAGGAACATTGCGTGGAAAACCCATTAAGTAAAAATGGAATCAAGAATGTCCCTTGCTACAAAATCCCCGTTACATTTTATGTTATTGATTAACGATTCCTACTATCCACTAGATTCCAACCAAAAAACAAATCTGGTCTCACAAGTTAAATACTTAGTAACAGTATTGTTCTAATAATTTTGTTTTATCTTATATTGTACTAGACACAAGGTTAACATATATCGTTATCATACGGGTATCGCGTAGTCGCTGAATCTTTTCGTGGATTCAAATGAGCTTTAAACTTCTTATTTGATCATATTTCTTTGATTTTTATATTTGTACGGTGATTTAAATTAAAAGTATCTAGGGGTATTGTGACTAATAAATTGTACTATTACCTAGCGGATAACGTTTTGTACTAAATTTTCCTGCTGTTCATCTACTTATCTAACTTCACTCTTTTTAGTTACTTACTTTTTCTATCTTATAGTATTTTGCATGACTCACTACTCACTTAGATAATACGATTATGAGAAAATAATTGTTAGAACTATGCCGATGTATAGTGGTTCAGTATGTTTCAATCAATCTGACCACACAGTTCTTAGAATCTTTGTCTTCTCATCGCCTTCTAAATTTATTGAAGAGATGGATTATTTTTAATTCTTGTGTCATTGTTTTATTTGACACCAAGTTTTGTTTCTAGATAGATTGATAGTTTACTTAATATCAACTACATCATATACTTATTCATTATAAGGCTACATCTATATCTTTTCACCCTCAAACTTCTATTTTTAGATTAAATTTCAAAGATGTCATCTGCGCCTATTTGTGATCGTGTTAATACATATGCTAATAAAAGCAGAGTTATACCTGGTTATGAGGGGATACCATACAATTTATGTGTTAACGTTATTGGTTGGGTGGTATGTCGCTCATTTAAATTTTCATCAAAGGCAAATCTAGGTCCTAATGTGCGGATTTACACTATTAAGAAAACTTGCATGGGACTATGGGCGTATGGCTACATTTCAACCTAGGAAAAATAGGTTTGTACAAGATGGTTTCCATTTTATATTATTGTTGCAATTAATAAAATGTCCTACTTCTTTATAACAGTGAATTAACGTTTCTAAATGATATCAATTTATAATAAATACTCTTTTTCCAAATATTTGCTATCTAGTTTGTCGGCGAAATCATTCTAACTTTAATCCGAAAGATAATAAAATATTGACTGGAGAATGTTCTTTACTTAGTGATTGTATTGATAATTCTTCATGTTTTCCTTACCAACAAAATTTCTTTGATTTTGCTTCTGAGTAGTTAACTTGTACTGTAGTAATGGTGACTGATTCATAATAAAATTGAACAATCATCATCATATATATATATATATATATAGGGCGTTTAAAAATTGTTTATCCGTTTCCAAGTTTTTAGACACTCCACATTAGCAGCCCTAGTAAGGTAATTAACAGCATAAGAAGTAAGATGAAATGACAGTATCTGTTGTCATGGAAAGTTAACTACAGAAAATAAGGTACCAATGAGACTAATGAGATCAAAGTTTAGAAATGACACTGACCAAAATTTAGAGTAAAATTAAGAATAAATACAAATATCCCACTGTGGCTTATTTTAACCCTATAGTTTTTGACCATACATTACAATGGTCATTGTAATCTCAACTAGTAAGTTCATACTATCCACTCACACATGGTTCAGATTAGTAATCAATAAAAAAAAACTTGAGGAGAATCACTGCCATTCGTCGCTATTTTGTTTTTAATACTTCTCTCACTGATGTCAGTTTGCAGTCAGTCATTATCAACCTAAAAACGCATAAATTTACGTTAGTCCACATTAATACAATTGGATGAACCTGGCACGACGAATATCAAAGGAATCGGGACAATTTAATAGCAATAGTAATGAGAAAGACCAAACATTGAGAATATGGTTCGAGAGGACAATGAATTTGTATGTATGATGAAATACAGTAACTGAAGATCTACAGTAAGATAAAGAATAAATCCATTTACTACCACTTGTTCCGACCCATGTCGCACAAAGGATCTTACCATCAATTGTGGTTATCGCACGAACCTTAACTAGGTAATGTTTTTTTACTAACATAACAGACTAACAATCAATGACTTCATAGGCTGGTTTATTTTGGTTTAGCCATCTCCAGGTTCTTCCAACTCACTTCCACATTATCTAACATCCCCCATCTAGGTAGGCGGCGATAAGACATGTGTGATACACGTCTTAGCCACTTCAGCTGACGATTCACAGCCGTATCAATTGATCTGTCATATTTACCTAGTATCCTATACCTAACCTCAATATTGATAACTCGGTCGTTCCACACGACGTGACCAATAGTTCTAAGGCACTGATTACCGAAACCCATAGCTTACGTATGCGCATGCTTTCAACTTTCCTAGACTATATTTCACTTAATACATACTGGTAGAAAATCACTTTTAAATCTAAAAAAAATAACTTTTCATTCAATCTGTCTTATTCATTTTATTCTTCATTTTAGGTGGACTCTATTTTCAGAAATAAACGATGAAAATGTCAGTACTGACAATGCTTCCATTGATAGTGTAGAACAAACTCCATCTACTAATGATCCTGTAAGCTCTTGTGTTCTAATTACTGTCAAACGTTACTTATTAAGTACAGAATTGTTTTTCACACTTTTTTACTACTTAGTTTTCATTTTTTATCTTTCCTTGTAGGGTTATTTTTCATGGATTGTTAGTTATTTCAAGTTAACGTAAGTTACTTAACAAACTTTTTGTGCATTTGCAAATATATATATATATATATATATATATATATATATATATATATATATATATATATATATATATATATATATATATATATATATATTGATTCTTTCAATGGTTTTCTTATATATTCTTCTCTAAATCTGTTAATTAATGATATATCAATTGTCATAAGTTGATTTTCATGTCTATAAATGAGATCATTATTTGTTCACAATGCTTCAGGTTCACTCTTTGCCTTTCCTTAGATCCTGAGTTCTGAAATCTTTTTATTTTCCTTTTCTGCTTGCCTCTTATCTTTTCTACTATTACTGATGCTATTAAGAGTTGTACTATTCTTGAATTTGTGTTGTCAGTTTAATCTTATTGTGATAATATGGTATGGTAAATTGAACTGATGCATATCTGTTTCATATTCTATTTTACACATAACTGACTAACTTACTGTGTCAATTGTTTTGAGTTCCAGTGGTCGAACATGACAGAAAACTCCATATCCACATTGCGTAATGAATGACATTCTTCTCAAGGTATACTTGCAGTCCCAATGAAATTGGTATTCCTCATAAAATTAGAAACAGTGTCAGATAGTTTCATAGTGAAAAACGCTGTTTCTGAAATCTCTAATCACTACGATTCTTTGCGTCATTTAGCTATTTTTTGTAGTTAAGATTATAAAATAATCAAAAACTGTTTCTTATACAATGATGACAATAGTTTTGTACAAAAATATTCTTAACCCCCCCCCAGTGCCATTTAGTATTGCACATTGAGGTAGGTGGTTATTGGGTATACATAACACATTCCAGTTGCCTCAGTCGGTGGAGATTGACAGTCTCAATAACCGGTTTGATATCTTTTCATATTACTCTATCCGTAACCTAAAGAATGTTTGCTCAGTCATTTTACAATGCTCAAGGTATACTTCGAAGTGACTTATGTTTAGAAACTCGCTAACACATAACTTCTGTCTCGATGGACCGTGTTTCACAGCTGTGAATCAACACAAAGTGAACTTCTGTGCAGTGTTTTCACCCCTTTGTTGACAGATGGGTGTTTTGTCTACATCACGAGTGATGCACGATGAAAAAGCTGACCGGGTTCCCTGAATTCCTGCAGAGGTTTTGTCTGGCACTTCCATGTGGCCAACGCTCTCAACTACAACACTACTTATGCATATATATATATTAGGCTCTGCGTTACTTATGACTAACTAACTGATCATATGACTAAGTAAAATAGTAATAATTATTATTATTTATTTTGCTATATGTGATTTAGTTCTTATTTATTGGTTGTTTTTTACACCGTTTTTTTTTCCACAGTATTTTTGAATAGATTTTTTTTATGCATGTATTGTATTTTAAGAATTACTATTATTTAACGAAAGTGGTTATATGAATGCTTTTCGATTGAATTCATGAATAACGACTATGAGAATGGTTATTGTTAACTCCTCATTAACAATCTCAAATGTTGTCTAGAAAGTTAGATTATTTGTGATTAGCATTCTACTTGGTTGTCAAACTGAACACAAACACAATGTATAGTACAATAGATTCATTCACTCATTTGATTGATTCATAATTTCATTTTATTTGTTTTGGCGTAGGCGACCAGAACCTGTGATTAATCAGTCATCCTAGAAAAAGTATCTGGCTAAATGCGTACAAAGTTGTGTTGCGTAGGTTAATTAAATAGATTTATGTTTTTTGAAATATATATCCATGTATTCTGATCGTTTGATCATTAATTAGTCTAATCAAGGAACTACTTTAAGTTTAACTATAAATATATACTGTTTAGTATACGAACACTAAATTAGCGTAGTGTTATTTTACTCAACAATCTAATCCTATTAATTTTATGTTGTTTTTTACTCAAATTGATGTATTCGCTGTGCTAAAATGATTATATTATTAAGTATATATGAATAGATTGCTTTATGGTAATTCTCATCATGAACTGTAGTCATCAACACTAGAATCGTTTAAAACTAAATGGGACTAGATCTTTCAGTAGTGTACACCGATCAGTCTGCACAAAAATGACCTATCACCTTGATGTATCACGGTAGGAACGAAACCATTGAGATAATGTATGAGAACAAATGACGTAAGAGGTATGAAGATGGTTGTTACTTCCCCGTAGCCTGCACCACGGGACGATACTTCCTGAGGTACCTGAAACAGAAACCGGTTTACGGGTGATCCTGATTATCCGGAGGTATAACTTTATTCCTCAAGGGAATACTGCTTCAGGCCGGTCTAAAATTCCAAATCCATTTGACTAGCAATGCGTATCACACAATCATTCAGCTAATCACAATTTGTAGTAAAAAAGTATTTTCAATTTATCAAAATCTTCATATAAATATCTATTTGACATGTAGGATGCTAGTCACAGACAAAACAAAGTATCATATTAATCAATAAAGTCATTGATTATTAATCTCAACTGTTCTGATATATGTAAACTTTCTGGTTGTGTAGTGACTGCAGTCTATGCTTGGTGTATTTTTATCGACGTAGTTCAAGTTCGATCACACTGAGATCTGTTTATTTATTCTTTATCTTATAAATTTTTCTACTTATTGGGACACTATGCTTTTCTTCCTTTGGTCGTATTTCTTACTCTTGCACTGTATCTTTTTATGTTCATCTCACTTATTGTAGTCAGTGTTATAATTTTGTTCCTCTAATTTCAGATCTCGAGCTAGTTTAATGTGTAGTAACTTCCACCAACACACATTTATGCTAGATTGCCTGTATAGTCTTTGTTGGACAAACTGAGAGTATGTTGAATATATCTTGCTTTTATATAAGAGGAATAATAGGATGATAGGATGATCACAATTTTTGTATTCATACAATACCCGATTGCATGCATTTTGAACATAATTTCTCTGAGATAGATGTTTCAACATCAGTTCACATAAGGGTTGTTGGGGATGTTAGATCCCCAGAACTCATGTGGTGAATGCTTTAATTTCGTAATTTTATTTTGAAAATTTGAATTTCCTTGTTTTCGCTCCAAAAGCTCTCTTTTCACCATCATGTCGTATTTCCTACTTGGGAGAATCTTTAACACTATTGGTCCGTTGTGTATTTTAGTATGCTCTTTTGTAACACTTTCCAAGGACAGTTTTATGCTGTATATATACGTTTGATTTGGGTCGGTTGTTATCACTTGCTCGTGCTTCTGGCTTTTGTGGAATATACTTCCCTGTTCGGACTTCGACTTCTCTCTCTAGTTAGCGGGGCTGGGACACAATAGAATAGCTAGTTTATTGGTCTTTGGTCACAAATCTTTTTTCCGTTCGCAATCTAAATGAACTCGTAACCGCTTCAAACTTAGCAAAGGTATTACTAATTTCCTTTGAGTATATAACGCTCATGTTATGGTACTCATAAAAATTATATCCCATCATCAGAAATAATATCACTACTATACGTTTGATCGATAATACACATATATAATTGATCATTAAACTTCTGTTATTGTCAAGACATTAGTGTAGTGAAGTGTAAACAGATGTACACTTTACATTCCCCCCAAAATGCATGTAAAGTAATGGAATATATATATATATATGTAGATCAACAAATATTATGCTGATGATAAATCATTATTGATTTTCCGACATTTCTGTTTACTTAATCATATACTTATTCTTGTGATAGTACAATATTATCTGATTTTATGGATCTATTACATATAGCACAAATAGTGAATATGCTCTTTTTAAATTGATTGTGAAAAAATGACATCTCGTTTTATACTGTTAGCTATAACATACACTACTGATTAACACATGATATGTTTTTTTTAATACTTGGAATGGGCTCCTTTCTACCCTTCATCTAATTAGTTACTTACTCTCTAATTTGTTATATTCTTTTTCAAATATAAAAAGATTTCCATTGTGATAATTAGAACAATATATAAATAAGCAAATAATATTGTTTCCAATTAGATCTTTATCTTAGATTTTAATAAATATTCGTATGCATATATGAACTTATTAAACCAATGAAGGTAATTTGTAAGTTAATGATAGTAATGAAATAGATGACATTACTAAACATAGTTAGTGAAAAAGTTTGAACTTCCTTCGTTGAAACATTGATTCAAAATTTTGTCATTCTTATTATCATTAATGATAATAATACTCACTGCCTTCTTGTGGCGGAGGTGTTGTTTACGAAATTGAGAGGACAAAAAGCGAATGTCCCGCGCTTTAACCGGGTTGGTGGACATGGAGAATCTAGCTAGAGGAGTTGGAAAACACTGATTCCAAACCAATGGTGAACATGGGCTCCAGTACCCTGAGGGAACAAATGGCGTATGAACCAATTATTGGTCACCGGATACCATGGGACTGCATCTCCTTACGATGCTTCACTGCCTTGTGGATCAGACCTTCAGGTCGAAGGCTCCGGGTGTGGCCCCTAAGAAAACCATCTGCTTCGGTTTGGGCACCCGAGCAGTATCATAGCCCTCACACATATCAAATGAGATTTTTGTGGCGCATATATATTTGGTACCTCCTTGTACCAATATCTGTGTGTTAAAATAAAATAAATAAAAAATAAATATTATCATTATTACGTGTTTCATCTTACTATCAACTTATATTTTTTAGTTAATATGTTTAGTTATGTAACCGATTTCATTAATACTATTGATTAATTATTTGCGTAGGCAAGATATCTGTCTGTTAACTAAAAGACGAGTTCACTATGTAACAATTTGCTCTGTTTTACTTTCTGAGTGTTCAACATAGCCATTAAGAATAGGCGATATCCAAAGATCATTAGTACTCGACATATGCGTCTTCGAAGTATTGCTTGTATATTTTTTGAGACCACAGAGCGAGTGATGCCGAGGTCTGCCATAGGGTAGTAAATTTTCGTATATCTAACTACTGCTTACCTCGACGGGTGATAATGTCTAGTGTAGAAGTGCGGAAACGAGGATTCACTCAAACCAAGATGTAGCACATGTGCATAAATTCACTGGTAATTAGTCTGAGCCGTGTAGGTAGATGTAGACTATCTGATTGGGGTCAGGGTGATTATCGTAACTAATGGCTAGAGACTTTAGATGACATAGCTCAGAATCGTTCTCAATGGTATAGGTGTATTCACTTCATATCTTTTCATAGATCATGGGTCTCAAAATCTCATACTTTCTTTTCTTTCTACTTGTGAATTTCTTTATTAACACCGATATTGTTATCACTTCTGCTACTCCTGAATTTGTCTTGATAGTTTTATCTCACTGTGCTAATGTCGTACGACAAGGTAAATCAATGCGCATATGTGCCTTCTACGTTGTGTATGGTTGACTGAGCGAAAAATCCTTGATTGATTTATGATATATTTAATGCATGCATATAAACATCATTGTACATTAGAGTAAAGCCTGGTAAGTATCCCACGAGAAACAATATATATATATATATATAATCTGCACCTACCATCATGACTCTAATCATCAGTCGATAACTTGGCTGAACCCATGTCCTGGTTTAAATGCCTCTCGGTTTCTTCCAGTTTATTCCTACACAATCTAAACTCGTTCATCCTGGTAGATGGTGGTTGAATATACATAATACAAACTCATTTGTTGAGGATTCGATAGAGTAAACACCTTTCAATTGTGAAATCAATTTCAGTATCCTTAATTTTTTAATGAAAATAATAAATCCGTACACATTCCTTGCGTAAAATAGCGTTAAGCTAATGAATTTTCGGAAATCGTTCAACCTAAAGTGAGTCTCTGTCACCTTCGACGTTCTTCCCTTATATGGACACTATACTTTCAGCTTATACAAAGTCTTCATAAAACTGTTTAGCTGAGTCGTAATTCCAGAATTCTTCTATTGTTTTCTTCTTTTTCTGTATTAATCTTCTACAGATCGGCAGATTTACAATTAAAAGCAGGAAATGATGCTGTTCAATATCTTAGATTTCATTTCTATTTAATTATTTATACAGCAATCACTACAGTTTTCTGTTTGGTTGTTATACTTCCAGTAAATATACATGGTACACTAAAATGTAAGCACTCAAAATTTTATTTGATATTTTAATATATACATCTATGTGTTTTTTGATCTACTTTATTCATCCTTGTGATAATTTTATAAGTGAAGTGGGCTTCTGTGAATTACTACTACAGTAGTGCATGAACATACATTTGGGGAAGACCAATTTATTACTTAATGCAAAATTATTGTATCATCACAAAATATAAAAACCATACATTAAATACTCTATTTACACATCTTCCATCAATTGTCTTGTACAATCTTTATCGTTCTTTCAGTCTTGTTGTTTTTACAATTGCTCTTTGTTTATATTCTTGTCCTCTGCAGTTCGACCTATTCAATCTTCTGTTGTCATGCGTTCCACTTCTGATTGGTGTCACATACTACTTATATCTGTCAATATAAATAGCATACACCACACTACTACTATTTGGTTTACTTGTTATACTCTTTTGAGCGTGTCTTCAGTACATAATGACTGAAAAAGCATGAAATCAATGGTGGAATCGTAATTATTGTGAAAATTAATGCTGAATGATAGTTAACAGAGATGGTATTCATCAGGAAAAAAAGATCAGTTAAAATACTGAACCTGTCAGCAGTACGCCTCCAAGTAGTTTTTTATAGTAATTCACCTTTTCTGGTAGTTTCATCAGCCTGCTGATTCCTCAACTAACTCACTCTCTTCATGGACACAGGAAATTGACTTACCTTTACCAACCTTAGTCAATTTTGGTTCAGAAAAGTATTCGTGATCCTCATGTAAAACGGAGGGAGTATGAGACATAGAGTTTGGGTATTTGTTAATTTATTACTGTGAAACTCAACCTTCATATGCACAGAACATGGATAGTTTGCTTTACTGGGAGATTATTGGTCTATATGAGACAGATGTATTCATTCATTCTTTATCTTTAATATTACCTTATACTTTCATCTACTGATTATAATTTTCATTTTCTGATTATATTTCTTTCTATATTCAGTTTTTTTGTGATTTTGCCTTTTGTCGTCTTCAGTTTGTCCTTTCGTTCGTTACGTTGATTTGAGGTATTGAATAATGGCACGCTATCTACCTCTGTTTTTGTCTTTCTTTATATATGTCTGTACTGGTGTGTGATATGTATTCATAAGTTACTGTTTGTTGTGGGTGGTCAGTCCAGTTTCATGATTCTGGAGAATTAAACAACCTTCTGTTCTATTAAGCTTATTTCTGTACAGGTTCACTGTTCTATTATTATTTCTACGGCTAAGTATATCACTATACTATTTCTGATAGTATTATTAACGATAAAAACAGTAATACTATTTCTGATAACTGTTGTGATAGGCGGCATACGAAATCTGATACTGATATACTGCGTGCTATGTGCTAACCTCCCAACTGATATATATATAACCCCTTGGGAAATCAATCCATTTCCTAACCAATGATATGCACTCGACCTTCAGGACACTTCTGATCGGCTGATCATGTCATTATTATTATCATTATCATATGTATAAGTGCTTTATTCAGTGGGTGTTTGGTGTTGAAAATGTCTAAGTATATATATGCATCATAATCCGTAATTTCCTCGATTTCATTTCTTGTGAATTTCACGTAGAAAAAACACTAAGCAACAAAATATTCGTTTTAATAATGAGATAATAGTTGTTTATTTTGGGAGGGGGGATCGATTGGAGGAGCAAACTAAGTACATTAAAAATGTGTATATTATTAGCATTTCTGTTAATAATTGACTGTGTTCATCCTGAATTAACAATCGTGGAATAATTGGTGAATTCATATTAGTATTTTTTAATTGTTCAGTTGTTGGGACATTACAATTCATTTGTATTATGTCTGGCGTTTCATCTTTGTTTATATACACAGGCGTGTTACTGTTATGTACATATCTACTCTTTTGAGTCCACGGTCTTACTGTTTATATTTGACTGTTCAAGAACCACTCGAATTTCTATGACACAAAGTAAGGACATAAAAGACTGCTACATGAAAGATTGTCTCTCCAAAGACACGTCCCCAAACAAATCGCAAAGTTACATCATCCTTGGACCAAAATATACTCATTTATATGACTAATTCTTACACAAAACAATATCACATATAAGGGAAATTACATATAATTACTCCGAAATACTGAATTAATATAGGGAATATAATTGTCACATTGAACGAAAGTTCACATTTGTCAAATTGAACGAAGTCTATATTAAATTGTTACCAAAAATACTGACCTAAATAATGCCAATTTATGACACAGATGATCTGATTTTATTTGGTTGAAGGTGTTCATCAGGAAATTCTGTTCTACTTTGGTGTCGTATTACTTGACACTTGTCGGAAAAGAGTATCTGGAGTTTTAAGGTAGCTGATTCTCCCTGTAAGAGTTGAACCCATCTAACTTCACAGTTTGTAACGTTGTCACTGAGATATTTGGGTCATGATCAAATCTCTATCAGCATTGATTTATCTATATTGATTACTGATTAAGTAGGAATCAGTGTTATACTTATTCTAGTCCTTAGCACTGAATTGAATTCTATTAATCAGTGTAAAACCTAGTGTTATTTCTTACTTCTATTACCTTTTCAAATAAATAGTATGAACGTACGATATAAATAATTTTTGTTATTAATTTCGAAAAACAAAATTTTTAGCTCCTGACTTACAGAAATTCGGTGTTACGACCATATCAAATATATCGTCTAATTCATCTAGTCTATGGGTGCATACAATTTTTGGCATTGGATTTTTCTTGTTGGCATTTTTTTTAATGCAACATTTCTCGAGGCAATTTCGTCGAGAGTCGACTCGAACACCGAATTTTGTGAGTTGTCTTGTTGATCTTTATCATTTTTCAGTGACAGATGTTGAAAGGGAGCGTATTTGTTTTCCTATCAATTCATTTCCACTTCATTAAACTAATTACCTTTTGAATGTTTCTTTTTTTTTGACATTGGAGCTCATAATCGATGTATTGAAACTAAAGTTAATTAATTTACCTAGTTTTATACAAGGTACATTATAAATTAAGTAAATTAATCTAACTCGTTTTCCACGTACTTGCACATAAGCTGTACTCTAAGTATGAAAACTAATTATATACTAGCCAGTTGTTCAAACTGAAACAGGTGAAGTGAACCTCGAACCTTGTTGAAAGTCTAACATAAGATACATAGTTAATACGGTGGTATGTGTATAATCAGATTAGTGTTCGAGATTTACACTTTTTGATTAGGGATCTTTATAATCCCCCGAGTAATCAACCGTAACAGAAAGTATGGGAAAAGGTCTTAGCCGAAGCCTATGCATATTTACATATTGGAAAGTATTGTTATTTTTTTCCAGGAGTTCGCATAAAGTTTAACAGAAATTAAATTTTATTGAAATATGTATTCTAGATCTTTTAAACTATTTATGAGTATTCAGTTGTTCTTCCATCGAATTTACATCTTCCTTCAACAGTACATTAAGTAATTCTATACAATGTTTACTGTAATTGTTATAGGGAGTAGCAAAGTTTAGGCTGAAATTATAATTATATGTTTAGCACATCAATTTACAAATATATTTAGATTGTGGATAGCAAGGAAATTTGGGACTCACCTTCCACCCAATTTAAAACTTAGCTATATACACTTTCATTCCCTGTATTGATGTTAGTCCCCAGACTCGAACCCTGTACCTATCAATGTGTTACCTACTAGACGAGTGAAACCAGTCAGGCATCCATTTATTCAACATGTATTTAGCTGAAAAGTTCTAAGTAGGATAAAATGCTTATCTTGGGTTTTGAATATATAAAGAAAACTTTAATGAAATTATAATTTCAAGCTGTCCGTTCAGTTTGTACATCTATCAACTAAGACATATAGTATTGATTATAAACTACAGGAAAACAGTAACATTTGCAAACAGCGTTTTATCAATGCAATTGAAACCATGTTTTTTAAAATATAATTATCAGTGATATCTTTAGATTCCAGGTGGCACTTCACATAATTTCTTTTAGGTTTTCTTGTCTGTTTATATAATCCATGATTTTCTTTCACTTAAAAAGTTGTCTGTAAAACGGCTATACGTATTTTTTTTTCATTTTCATAGTCAGATAAAACATTGATGATTTCCGGGATATCACGTACGAATTGTTCACGAGCACTCATTTTAAGGCATTTTGCGTAAGTAATAGTCTCTCTGTTATTGTTACATATATTTTGTGAACAGTGTATCTGACTCCGGTTCGATCGTACGATGATGCTATGAACATAATTCTTCCATTTAACTCCATATATTACCTAGGCTAACTCTGTTTGTGTGACAGCTGTATTAAGAAGCCAAATACAAGTTGCGTTGAATGAATTTATTTCAATCACTCATCTATCTAGATAGACATTCAGAATAAGAAACGGGAAGCGGAGCGGAGAATCACTATGAATATTATCCAATGTTATGCACCCAACAATGATAGCAATGATGACGATAGCGATCAGTTTTACGAAAGGCTGCAATCGATCATCACGAAGTGCTCAGTAAAGGACCTAAAAATCCTGATGGGAAACTTAAACGCCAAAGTCTTTAGCATTAAATTATCTCTGTAACTGATGTTCAGGCTTTTAAATAATCTCGAGTAAATCCATATTTCTACTAGGAAATTTAGCCTGCGTTAAATACTCAGTTAACGGGATACTATCTACTGCAGTCAGATATAGAGGATATTAGCCTCTACAAGAAAAAACTGGAAGGTGATCAAAGAAACATTAACTTCAACATGTCTGGAGGTTCTGGACCGCAACAAGTATCATCATGAGAAATGAATCTTAAGCATCACCTTAGACAGGATGCAAGAAAGGAAGAGCATGAAGATAGCAATTAACAACAGCCAAATAAGAGCAGAGAAAGCCAAGGCACAAGCTGAATACACTGAAGCAAGCAAGAAATTGAAGAGGAGCATTAGAGGCAACAATCCTAATTCTAACGCGTCATACCACATAATCTATCAGGACGTTCCCTCATTACTGTTGGTGGTTGATGAATACTGTTGAAAAATTGTTGCTCGTTAGTATTTATTCTAAAAATCAGAATCAAATTATACTACCTCGTTTACCAGTTACTTGGTTATAAGTCACACTGTAATTGTAAAGGCTATTAATCTCCTGTTCAGTTGCCTAAAGCAACGTAGGTATAGGGATGTTTGAATCTGGGACGTAGTTGTTCGAAAGGTGAACTCTAAACTGGACATCTGATGATTGTTCAACTGATTTCAGAATTATCAGTAACAAGAGAGCGAAGCAAACAATCTGTTCAACGTGTCTCTTCACCCATTTTGAGTAAAGTCAAGAAAGGAATTGTTAAAAAAAGTTTAATAAATAAAACAAAATATACATTACTATCAGTTCTACAACCGATTGATTCATATCCTTCAGTCTTATACGGGTTTCGTACATAGTGATATTCGTATATTTTAGAGTTTACACATTACATTGACTCGTAATTTGTCTACGATTTGAAAACAGTGTATGACTAGTTGATAAGTCTCTCATCAATAACCTCAGATTGTGTGGTGGTGTTTCCTCTCATCACACACTTCTTAGAAATGTACATTTAAAAACAAATGCTTGATGTAAATGCACTAAGATAAGTTGTATGTAAAATGACATAAAAAAGTTATGAAATCAACAATCAATGCCAATCTGTGCTACCGTAGCCACTGTCTGATAGCCAACTCAGAAATAAAAGTCTAGTATACCGTGCATTTATTTTACTTTAACTTATTGAAATGTGTTTTTTTCAAGCTGTGATTTTCGACGGCTATATGTGTAGTTCATCATTTATCTCCGAAGGGCTATTCGCGTTCAATAACGACATTATTTAGGTAATACTGTGGTTTTGCGTTTGTTTAGGGATAGTAGAAATGATGATTCAATAAGCTTATACATCTTAAATACCATCTTCAATGAATTTGTTACCTTATACAAATGTCTTCTCATGGGCTCCTATATGAAATGCGTTAGGGTCTTAATTATTATTTATCTAAACTAATGTGTTCGAGATAAATATACCGGGTGCCTGAAACATGGTAACGGAAGCTTTTGTGCTGTGCTTTCTTCAAATTAAAGACTGCGGATAGAAGGCGTTCTTATCAACAGGATCAAGATTATCTCGGTTTCGATCCAAGGCTTATTTTTCTATTCAAAGCGAATCATTAGTCAACGCTTAGAACCCTTGCCTATAGGCAAAATAGCACACTTGGTGTAGCAAAATTGTATCCCAGATTCTGAATTGTGGATTTCTGATATTGAATAATCTGAAGTCATTACTCAAACTTTCTGAATTCATGCCGTGATTTCTTCAAACACTAGCTCATCTGGCTCACAAGACTTCCAAAAATAAATGAAATGATCAATTCATTCAATTACTTAGTCTCTCTTGATAAATCTAGACATTGAAGAAAACTAATTCTGAACCAGTTTTTTTTCCCGTAGTCTTCTTTCAGATGCTTTGATGTTGAAATTACAAGTTTCCAATGAAAATATGACCAAATAATGGTCATTTATGTATATTTCTTCATTCCTTTGTTTGAATGAACATGAAATGAAAATAATTAAATAGAAAAAAAATGTGTCTAGTTATGTGTTTTCAAAGAATGAAAAAAAAGATACGAAATCATATTCGGGAATACATTATCATTTTATATTTTATCACCGGGCTGTTTTTTTATTAAAATGATTTAATTATCTGTTTCTATATCGTTTTCAAAAAATACATTTTAATCACTGAATAAACACTGATGATAAATTTTTAAAACAATATGACTTATTTGTTGCTATCGGATAAGTGCTTTTATATGTTTACATGTAGAACTAAAATATTGTATCCTGATCGTCTTTTTCCTACCTTAATCTTTTTTTTTTGTATTTTTTCAACAACACAGAGAACTTTATCCTGAATGTCCTGTTGAAGATGTACAAATTTGTTATGATACTCGAAAACTGATAAAACTTGAAAATCAAAAGTACGTTTTTTTCTCTCTAAGTTGTTTGTTATTGTTCTCTTCATGTACTTCTTTTCAGCTATGTAAATATATCATTTGCCATTATTATATTAGTTTGAATTGAATAAATCTGTGGAGCAGTGATTCAATGGTTAGGATATCCGATTGTTAGCCACTATATCGCAGTTTCAAACTCTACTTCACCTACTTCGATCTGAACAACCACATAATATCATTACCCGTCACACACAAAGTATGACTGGATGTCAAGTATACAAGTCCTGTACTTGATAAATGAGTTGAATAAATTAAATAATATGTTGACAATGTAACGCTATCTTATCATGTTTTTATCAAACCATGTATAGACTATCACATATATACAGTATTCTTATATTCAAGTCAATTCACTAGATTTATTGCCCGATATATCATTTGTTACCATAGTCGATAGTTCTCACCCGACCGTAGCTGCTACCTTGACGCGGTGGTCGGGCTTGCCTATCGTGATGACCCAACCGAGCTATATCGGCTGGAACATATGTTTTTGTAGGTTCTGTCATGCCAGGCACGTCAATTGGAGAACGGTGAGACTAAAAGCAGTAACTCAAGGTCTGAGGGCGAAGTCGTACTGCTGACTGTAGAGAGGTGTGACAGCAGTAAGGTGTTTCCCTCGGACAACCAACATATGCAGCGATGCTTCCTTCTCACCAGGAAGGAATGGGTTGGAAACGTTCGACCCAATAAATGTCACACCTCACCTTACCTCACGGATTTCCGTCTCCGGCCCTAACAGGTTTACTCCTGAGATTTTTAAGGATGGTGGTCCAGTATTAGCAGTGAGATTAACTGAGGTCTTAGGTAGAATTTGGGAAGTGGACGTAATCCCATCTGACTGATCTCAATCACTGATTGTGCCAGTCTATAAGAAAGGACAAAAGTCCTCTTGTGACAATCACAGAGGAATCAGTTTGACTAATATAGTGTCTAAAATATTAGCTTCAATAATACTTCGACGCCCAACTAAAGCTCGTGAAGAGAAGACTAGAGAAAACCAGGCTGGTTTTCGACCTGGACGTGGTTGTATAGACCAGATATTCACACTACGTCAGATTCTAGAACGCAGCCAAACGTCCAGATGCCCCACAATCTTAGTATTTCTCGACCATAAAGCAGCATTCGACTCTGTTGATCGTGAGGTTCTATGGCAGTGTTTGTCCCAGCCATCTCAACTGATGAGGTTTCACTACTTCATCAGTTGATTTGCCATCCTTACCTAGTACCCGATTCCTAATAACTGCGTTACTTACTCGATGGTCCCAGGATATACGAGCAATGTTCCAAAGACACCTATGATCAAATACACTAGTAAACTACGAATATCCTCTACTCTTTCCGGTCATGTTTCACTTCCATAAACTAGGACGAAACGAACTGCTGAGCCATAAACCCGTCCATTGGTTGATAGATGGATATCTCGCCTACACCATAAATGACGCAAGTTGGCAAAAGCTAGTCGAGTCTTCTGTATCAGTGCTGAGACTTCGTCACACACCAGACCACAAGGGCTGATGAGACTTCCAAGATAAGTGAAGCGGTTTATTTTTATTTTATTTATTTGAACACATAAATATTGGTACAAGAGAGCGCCAATATATATGCGCCACACAAAGCAATGGGAATTCGAAGAGAAGTAAAAAGAAAAAGAAAAAAAAACTAAGGAACGCAAAAGAAAAAGAGAGTAATGACGAAGAGGTACAATCAGAAGAAATCTTTCAGGTAAAGGAGACACAACCACTTTTTATGAAGAAAGTAAAAGGTTACAGCAGGATCGCCACTGGCTTCTATTCTGAGCCATATCTGATAACGTCTCTAGCCACTGTGTAGCACCATCTCTCGGACCCCAGCCAGGGAGTCGTGAAGGACCAACACAAGCCAGTCCTTTGCAGCTTTCTTTCATGCCACGACACCATGTCATGCACTGACCACCTCTCCGCTTCTTCCAACCAGTCCCAGAGTCGGCAAATAATGCACGACGTGGAATTCTCTGGGACGACATTCGGAGAACATGTCCAAGCCACCGAAGTCGGTGTTTCAAGATGGTGACACCAATTGAGTTATCATCTCTGTGCCCGATCACACGATGCCGAACCTCTGCATTACTGACATGGTGTTGCCACTGAATGTCAGCAATCCTTCGGAGACAGCGATGATCGAACACAGAGAGTCGTCTAACGTCCTCAACTCGGAGAGACCAGGTTTCACAAGCATAGAGCAAAACTGCTCTCACCGACGCGTTGTAGATCCGGCCTTTTACAGCCAGACTAACATCACGAAGGCGCCAAAGGTGGCCCAGATTGGCATAAGCCGCTCTGGCTTTCACTATTCGTGCATTGATCTCATCACTCACACCCCCACCAGCACTTATGCAGCTACCCAGATACACGAACTTCTCAACTACGTCTATCTGCTCACCGTCCAGGGTGAGTACAGGATTAGAATCCTGCCAGTCTTGTAGAAGTACTTTGCACTTCGAAGGTGCAAAGCACATACCATACCTACGGACACTGATTGCCAACTGATTAAGTGCGGATTGCATGCCTTGGGCATTATCGCACAGTAAGACAATATCGTCCGCATACTCAAGGTCGAGAAGTCTTTCTCCAGGCAACAGATCCACACCACCATTACTTACATTCATCAGAGCTGTTTCCAGAATGTCATCGATGGCAAAGTTGAAGAGGAATGGTGAGATTGGGCAACTCTGCCTAACCCCACTGCTCGAATGGAACAATGGAGAGAGGTGGTTGTATGCCCTCACTCTGCCTGAGGTGTTTGTGTATAGGGCTTTTAGGATGTTAATAAACTTCTCAGGCACACCCTTCTTCAATAGACAATCCCAGAGAGCAGTCCTATCCAACGAATCGAAGGCAGCCCTGATGTCAAGAAACACTGCGATTGTTGGCCTTTGAAAAGTATGGCGGTGTTCTAACATTTGGTGGAGGGTGAAGATATGATCAATACATCCTCGACCAGAACGAAACCCACCCTGCTCCTCGCGAGTCAATCTTTCTCGGGTTTTGAACAACCTACGAAGAATGACGGAAGCCAATAGCTTGGACGCAATCGGAAGTAAACTTATCCCCCGATAGTTGTTACAGGAACGACGTGAACCCTTTTTAAAGATAGGGACAACTATCGACTCATTCCATGACGTTGGTACACTCTCTAGTTCCCAAACCTTTGTAAACAACGTCGTCAATTCCTTAGTCAAAAAGTCACCACCATCTTTAAAAAGAGCCGGAGGTAAGTCATCTGGGCCAGGTGATTTGTAACGCTTCAATAGTTGGAGTTCCTTGCGGACTTCCTCCTCATTTGGTGGATCAGTCGTCACCGGCCATGGAGGGCAGGACAGTCTGACCGATGTTGCCGGAGCAGCAGGCCAGTTGAACTGCCCTTCGAAAAATTCTGCCCATCGTCCAAGACGTCGATGGATGTTAGTGATTGGCATCCCATCATCCTCGCAGATTGTTTCACTCACACCAAACTTCTTGCTGCCAGTGGCTCGGATGAGCTGGAAGAGCTTCCGGTAGTTACCAGATGCAGCTGCTGCTTCCAGCTCATTAGCACGCATCGACCACCAGGCTTCTCGGTCCTTACGCAAGCTTTGCCCGATTTCCTTACGTAAAATCCTTCGTTTATGGTCAAACTCACGGTTACCCGGAGTAGACTGACGGGCTTCAATGAGTTGTAAGGAACCAGAAGAAACCCAGTGCTTAAAACCGGGACGTTTCGCAAACCCACAACTGACTGTTCCCGCCATTTTCATGGCGACATGCAATTGCAACCAATGCTCATCTATACTTTTCGGTGGAGTGGTAGCTAGCCTAGAGGCTAGCTCGGTTCGATACTTACTTGCAACAGAAGTTGCAACCAGCTTGCTAACATCAATCCGTTGATGGCGTTCACTTCGTTGTCCACTGAAAAGTAAGGCAAGATTGGCGCAGACCAAGGCATGGTCAGAGTCCAGATAGGTACTCCAAAAGGAGCGGCAGTCTTGTACACAACCACGCCAGCGGTAGCTGATTGCGATGTGATCAATCTGAGTCCAGGCTTGAGATGCAGAGGGAGGACGCCAGGTGGCACATCGGCGATGACTGTGCCGAAAGTTAGTGCTAGCCAGAAACAGGTTGTGGTCTGTGCAAAGTTGCAGTAGACGGTGCCCGTTATCTGACCTGCGACCAACGAGTCCCCATCGGCCACCTAAACGACTCTCTTCTGTGCCTAGACGCCCGACCTGAGCATTCAAGTCTCCGGCTAGTACTACAATATCTGTCGAACGCACTTTCTGGAGAAGAACTGATAACTGGTGGTAAAACTCATCCTTGATTGCATCCGGGCTGCAATCTGTCGGGGCATAGGCGGAGATGACGAAAAGACATCGTTTCTCACGCCGATTTCTTCTCACTTTGATGGAACTTTCTAATCTAACAGCACATAACCGACTGTTAATGGGGATCCAATCGACTAGTGCTGCCTCAGCTCTAGCGCTTAGTGCGACACCAACGCCAGCAAGACCAGACGAAGATGCCACAGGGTCCCCGGATAAGCGCACGTAAAACAAGCTTTTCGAAGCGACAGATGGAGATCGAATTTGTAGTACTTCGCCAGAGTCTTGAATACGGGTCTCGGATAGACAACACACGTCGATATTAAGACTTTCCAAAGACATAGCCAGCCCTATCTGTTGTCCGACCTGCATAAATGTGCGAACGTTGAAGGCAGCCAGTTTGAATGGTGCACGTGGTTTCAGAAAATCTGCTTCAGTCCTCGTATTCGGTGGTAACATACAATTTTCAACCGGACAGTGACTCGAGAACGTCTAGATACAGTCGGAATTCCACCAAAGACGAGCCGCTGTATAAGTATAAAAGAAGGTGAATAATGTGGAAAATAATAATAATAATGATGATAATAACAATAATGACAATAATAGTAATAATAATAATATTAGTATTAATAATGACAATAATTGTAGTGATCATAATTTGAATCAATTGATTGTTTTTCAAAGCGACAAAAGTAATTTCCATAGACATAAAGAGTTCATCATTTGTGTGTGGGCTGTGATACTGCCCGGGTGCCCAAACCGAAGCAGGTGGTTATCTTAGGGGGCCACTCCCCGAGCCTTTGACCTAAAGGTCTAACCCACAAGGCAGTGGAGCATCGTAAGGAGATGCAGTCCCATGGTAGCCGGTGACCAACGATTGGTTCATACGCCATTCGTTCCCGCAGGATACTGGAGCCCATGTGCACCATTGATTTGGAATCCGGTTAAAGCGCCGGACATTCGCGGTCGACACGCTCAACTACTTCACTTCTTATCATTAGTTCGCGTGTCGATGCAACCCAATCCTGAAGCAACATTTCGCATTTCGAGAAGGAGAATCGCATGCCAAACATGCTTGCATTGTTGCTTAGAGTGGTCAGAAGACTCTGCATTTTGTCAGCGTCATCACGAAATAGAACTATGTCATCGGCATATTCTAAGTCAACAAGTGAATCTCCCGGTAGAAGTTCAACCCCTGGAACAATTGTCTGCTGTTACCTATTGCCGCTGCCTTTTCCATCTCTCTTGTTTTCGCTACCCACCACTGTTCGCGATCATTGCGTAGGCTTCTTGTCAGCTTGTGCTTAAACTGACTCCGCTGTTGGTTATGTTCAGAGCCAGATGGAATGAGTTTTCGAGCATCTATCAGTGCGGTAGATGCTTCTGAGATCCAGTGTTGCTCCCTAACCTTCTGGTTTGCCTTACTAGCAGATACCACTGCTGTTTCCACAGCTTTTCGGATATCATTCCATGCTGCCTCGGGGTGGGCATCACCTACATGACTGCCTAAATGTTTTCCTAGTTGTTCCTGAAATATACTCTTAGCTTGACTATCATTAAATAGGACCCTAAGAGGTTTCCTTGCAACGTCTTTCCTACGTCCAGTAAGACGCAGGCAAATACACGCTCGCACTAGAGCATGATCTGAATCTAAGCATGTGCTCCAGAATGAGCGACGGTCTTTTATCGAGCCCCTCCATCGGTGCCTGATAGCGATGTGATCTATTTGGGTCTAACGTTGGGACGAATTGGGGGGTCGCCATGTTAAAAGATGTTTTCCTTATGCTTAAAGTTAGTATTTACAAGAAACGGGCGGTTATCTGAGCATAACCGCAACAGACGGTCGCCATTATCTGTTCTTTGAGCCCCGACACCATAAGACCCACCTAGGTGTCTTTCCCTTTCGCTTAGTTTACCTACTTGAGCATTAAAACCACCAGCCATTATTACTACATCAGAGCACCTAGCTTTTCTAAGATCGGAAAGCTTTCTGCAAAACTCAGTTTTTACATCATCTGAGCTGCAGTCAGTGGGAGGATTGGCAGAGACGACGAAGAGGCAACGACGAGTGTCCCTATCTTTCCGAGTGCTTATTGTTTCGTTTAGTCGGACAGCGCACAAGCTACTGTCTACTGGGATCCAGTCTAAAAGAACTAGTTCTTCCTCAGGACTAAATGCTATACCTACGCCAGCAAGGCCACGGGACGCGGCATCAGGGCTTCCAGATACACGAAGTGTGAATCGAGTTGGTTCTTTATTTTGATATGGTGATGTCAAATGAATGACGCTACTCGAATCCTGTATGCGCGTTTCGGAGACGCAGCACACATCGATAGCGCGAGATTCTAAAGTCATAGCTAAGGAAGCCTGTTATCCTATTTGGCACAGTGTTCGGATGTTGAAAGCTACAACATGAAGTTTAGAGCGTGGTTTCAGACTAGGAATAACGTTCCGCGTACTCGAATCGTTTGCCTTAGCGGTGCGAGATGATAAAAGGACGTGAGAAGGGTTAATCGTGGAGATAAGAGAGTTCTTAGAAAGGATTTGAATGTGACCAACTTGGTCTCGTGTGTTGTTACGGGTATGAGGGCTGATATCACTTCCCGGCTGCCCACACCGTTGAAGGGTATTTCTTGAGTTGCTGCTTTTAGTCTCACCGTTCTCCAATCGACGTGCCTGGCATGACAGAACCTACAAGAACATATGTTCCAGCCGATATAGCTCGGTTGGGTCATCACGATAGGCAAGCCCGTCCACCGCATCAGGGTAGCGGCCGACATAAATCACAATTATAGTAATCTGCGCCTACTGATATGGGACTCAATCGATCTGGCACATAACTCCTGAATGCTCATCAATGTATATGTGTATCATTTTGTCAGCAATATTTACAGGTTATGTTTCTATATTTGCGTACATATTAATCGAATAGTTAAAAGCTGTGTGCCATTGTATTGTGGCACCTGGGAACCTGAACACTCATTTTTATGAATATTTTAATCTTACTGTTTTCTGTATATATATAGTGATTACCTTGATAAGCAATTTTGGCATTTATAGCGTATGAAAATCTAGTTTTTTTTGTGATTAGTTTTGTGGCGTTATTTAATGTGATTAATTTTTTCTTTTTTTTCCAAATCATATTACTTTTGGTAAAACTATAATTTTTTGTCAAGTGTTGTAAAGTGAATATTGACAGGTGAATAAGTAAAAACGAATGAGGAAACTATTAAATACACATACAGTTGTTACAACTCACCAACTGCCGATAAGTATACTCGGTTATGAGCCACAATTTTTGTATAAGAGCTGGTAATACTACTTGACTATCAAAACCTATTGAGGAGTTCCAAAGTATTCCTCAGAAATCTCTCAAGGGCCTAGGAGACGCTTGGAAACACTATCCAATCAGCGTTAAATAAATGCATCACAAAAAAAATCCAGAAAGTGAATAGTCCTGTTTCTGATTGGATATTTACCTATACTGCTACCATATTTTATATGTTTATAAAAATTTCTAGAAGCTCGAGATTGTGTTACTCCATAATTACCCTCATTTTTCTGTACATAAACTAACTTTGAAGTAGGGCATTCTTTTTTACTCTTCGTGCGTTTTTTCTCATGATCAAGTTGTCGTGTAGGTTTAGCCTGGGGTTAATAACGACTATAAACAGAAGTGTCTAAGACATAAAAGTTGTAATTGAAAAGGAATAACATAATGTCGTAGAATGGGTGTGTATGAAATTTGTTGTATTTATCTTTTCAGTCTGATGTTTTTTGCCTAATACACTTCATTCGACTTGATTATATGTTAAAGAATGAACTGGAAACTAAGTTTATTTGTAAAGAAATCTTAGTAAAAAGTTTAAAAAGGTGTAGAAACACTAGTACCTGTTATATAAATGATGTATGCACTATCTAGAATTTTCTGGCATCACTTACCTTTGATGATTAATGTAATCAGACAGAATATTCGATTCCTTATCACCAGATTGAACCTACAAGCTGAATATTTTGAATATTATTCTTTTAGGATCTTTCTTCTTTAAGTAGGATTGTTGGATGTTTACTTCAAACGTAGAGAAATTTTGGAAATAAATGCTATTGTGTCACTGCAACCAACTGAAATGATTAATTTTTTTGGTGCTTTGTTTTCAACTTTCATTCAGTCAATCAGTCATAAACATTGTAGAGCTTAACACATTTGTAAATCGATTCACGTTGTTATAATGAAATGGAATTATCAAAATAGTTGCCGGAGTAATAGTTGTAGTAGCAGTATCAGTGACAATAGAAAAGATTGAGCATAATCAGTATGATTTGAGAAGAAAGTGTGAAATCGTCCTCGTAAAATGTAACCAGTGGGGTTCAACCTTGTCGGGTGTGAGGATGTTACTCAACAAATCTATGAAAGATGGTCACTTAGTTTGATCGATTGATCAAAGTTGAACTTGTGCACCATCGAACCCCGGACCAGTGGTCTAGTGGGTAGCAATGCACACGCCACACCGAAGGTCCCGGTTTCCAATACATGTTTGTGAAAACACACTCCTAAGGAGTCCTATACTAGGATGAAACGACCACCTAGTGTTTCAAAGTTTTCAGTAGTTCATGATATCAGTCAATCTTCATATACCAACTTTGTTGACTGATTACCACGACTTGAATTTGATTTTCCCCAGATTATTCATTAATATACATTTGACTGTACTTTGTTCAGAGATTACTCATCTATCATTTGCATTATTGATTATCATTACTACTATAATTACCATCATAAATTAATATGATTCTTTCTTTCTCAAGAGATACTGTAAGAGCTGCTCTACGTTACTCTGAAGAAAGTTACGAACGTAAACGTAAACGTCCATTTATTATACCATGTTGTTGTGGTTGGATGTATAAAAAATGTTATGAAAATAATTGTTGTCGTAGTTGTTGTTGGAATACTAATAATCAAATAGATTCTTCACAAAATTATATTTCCAATAATAATGATAATCATATAGATAATATTGATGATACTGTGCCAAGATCTGAAGCTGTTAACAATGAATTATCTTCATCATCTTCCTCTTCTCCTTCTTCACCTAAAATAAATTATAATAAATGTAAATTATGCCTTTGTTGTTCATGTCCACCACCTACTGATGCAATCACTTATTATACAAATAAAAAAATGTATTTACAAAAAGAAATTGAAAAACAATATGAAACAACAATTAAAAAACCAATTGGTATTGCATTTATAACATTCTCAACCAAATATGCTGCAGCTTAGTAAGTTGATTTATGAATAAATAAATTATTAATTATTATTACTTATCAGAAGGGATTTTGTGGAGATTTTAGTAATTTCAATAGTTGAAATCATGAGTCAATTGAAGCTAGACCACCATGGAAAACATGGAAGCACTGGATGGCTGTTTCGTCCCAGTGTGTGACTCCTCACCAGTGGGTATCCACGATCCCGTCCCCCGCGAGGTTCGAACCTAGGGCCTATCAGACGAGCGTTTCACCATTAGACCACCGATAGGTCGTGGGTTTGAATCTCGCGGAGAGCGGGATCGTAGATACGCACTGCTAAGGAGTCCCATACTAGGACGAAACGACTGTCCAGTGTTTCCAGGTTTTCCATGGTGATCTAGCTTTAATTGACTTATGATTTCAACAATTGAGATTGTTAATTCATTAATTTTTTTAGTGAAATATTGTCTTATTGTATTTATTCAATTTATTCCATCTATTACATTCTGTAAATACTGTTTTTTTTCTAATACTTTAGTGTATGTAAGGAATATCGTAACATTTGTCGACGTTTAATTATATCTATAATGTCTAGTACTAGTACTAGTTCAGTATTGAAAAGTCATATGTGGTCTGTCGATTTTGCACCTGTTCCAAGTAATATTATTTGGTAAGTCCTGTGTTGTTTCAGTAAATTATTCTCTTGTGTAATTTTTAACTTCTGATTTTAATTAATTCTACTTATAGTAGATCTTAATTTTTTCCAACGTGTCGTTTTAGCATGTAGTGTGGAATAAAGCGACAGTTTAAGTAAGAAAAAAGTAGACAAGAATATGCTATTAGTCCGTGAAATCATTAACTTTTAGTCTGAGTCTTGTCTTTATATCTTGAGTTTCAATGCATCTTCATACATACCTTCTTTTCGAACCAAATTCTCTATTTTATCTGTTCAATTTTTATCCATTCGATTATTACCTTCAGTTTCTTTGTCACTTATATTGTTAACTTAATTTCTTTGCGTTGATGTCGTTTGTCAACTTAGGCTGGGTGTACATGTGTATAAGGCTCTAGTTGGATGATGATGAATTGTAATAGTCAAATCCTCAGTGGTCTTTATGGGAAAATTATCTAAGATTAAATGACAATTACTTTCCACATTTCATTGTTTTCTAATACTCCGGTTGTTAGATTAGTTGGAAAACGACTAAGTATCTAATATTTTACCATAACTTACCACTGAACACTTACCAATATAGTGTTTTTCTAGACTTTACTACATTTCAAATACTATCGATCAAATTATACAATCACCAGTAGATTAAGTAATTCGAGATCACCGTGTGTTTTATTTTAATGTTAATTATTCCAAGATAATTGACATTCAAACACAACTCATTGTCAAGAAGTAAATTTCAAGGTTTTAGTGCTCTCCATTGAGGTGAAAAAAGCGATTGACCTAGTGAAATAGTTTATATTCATTGACTTATCCTGCTTTCAACTGACCTACTGAGACCCGAGGTGTTTGCATTGATGAGTTACTAAGCAATAATGACAGTTGTATGTTGCTATCGTCCTGTTGTATATTTGTCAATTGATGGCTTAGTATTTTCTTACATTTTCAAAACTTTATCTAGTGATATTTTTCTTAGGCGTTTACTGATTTGAACTATTTGTCAGATTGAATGACGATTATTTTTCGCTAAACGGCGTACTGATAATGATATTCATAAGTATTCTAACTAATGTCTCGAAATTACCGTTCAAATGAATCCTTTAATATTTCAGTTACTTAACCACACACTGAATGTATGAAAACTAAATTATTTCTACCAATCTTAGTTTCTTTTTTAAAGGATTTCGTAGTCGCAAACTCATATGTATACTTCGATAATATCATTCGTTTTCTGTCTATTTACTATTAGTTTCAAAAGCAAATTTTTATGTTTTCGCTGAGGATTGAATGGTCGGTTAAAAAATCAATATCTCAAGTGTTGTTCTATGTGTTTCCAACATTTTTTTATGAACACAATTGATATGAATGAACTTAGATGAAGTAATAATTGACAATCTACAACTAACAGTTGAAAATTAAATGATATCTGACTAATAAAATACCATGCTTCATATGTATTGTAATTAATATAGCATGTTCTCAGTGTTTAAAGGTCTCTTGTAATTTCGATTCGTTTACACGTCTAAGATTCTCTAATCATTTATTGCTAACAATACATTTCACACTTTTCATTATCAAAATGCAGTTTATTTTCTTAGTTTAAATCATCAACTGGTCTTAGCTAGAACACTATTGTAAACCTGCAAGCACTGGACGGTCGTTTTGTCTTAATTTGGAATTCAATAATGCACACTCACAACCCTGCCTCTGGGAATTGTGGGTGAACATTTGACTTCCAGCACATTAAGTCGAAGTCTCTGGATTCAATGCCCGGATGTGGAGTTATGAATGCTCACTGTTATAGAGTTCCGTACTATCAAGAAACGTCTATTTGGTGCTTCCAGATATTTGATAGTGATCTAGCTAAGATCAATTCCTTGTTTAAACTATGAAAATTCTACAACCTCCATAACCTCCCCCACATACTAATACATGGTTTATTTATATTTAATAAATTTGATTGTTCCATCAATAAAACTACAATCATAACTCAGCATACATGCAATTCCATTCATTGTTTTGAATATTATTTCCACATGCTCCGCTTCCTTGTTTGTTTTTTGTTACGGAAATACGATTAATTCAGGGATTTTGTAATTTAGCCTCTGGCATAATATATTTTGTCTCTAATACATCAAATCTTTTTCATCTCTATGTGATTACATAGGTTGATTTGATTAAGTTGTGCCTAACTAACTTATATTTTTATTAGGATTATATTTTTCATGCGTATTACTATCCTCTTTTTTTTCTTCAAATAATATGCTTTCATCATTAAAATTTATCGTTTGTGTTTAATGCTTTGTATGTATCGAATGTCTTGTTAATTAACTGTTTAGAATTACTATAGGTTCTTTTGAATAAAGTTGATTAGTGTAGCAAACAAAACGCATAGATCGAGACAATTAAACAACGTTTTTTTGTGTATATAACACATCTGATACTTGGGCACTTAACTATGACTTCTAACCAATTTCTAGTTCTTTAGAAATCTACTACAGTACAATATCAAATAGAAGGTGAAAAGTATGAGAAGAAGCCTCGCTTCTCAGGTTAGTTTAGGCACAAGTAACAAGGATGTTTAGGGAGTATATATATATATTGAGATTAGTAGCAAAGTTGGCAGTGGTCCAATCAGGATATGACACACAATTCGTGATTTTTCTAGAACTTTCCCTCTCTTATCTGTTTATTGAACTCTTACTGGATAAAATATTTTTAACCTTTTCGTATCCTTTGAAGGCTTTTCCGAGGAATATTTGTCGACTCTCAACTTGGTGTTGGTATTAATGTAGTTTTTCACTGCATTCTTGTGGTTCATTCATTCAGAACTTCATTTAATACTGCACGCGCTATATACAAATTCAAACTGGCATTTACTAAGAAAAACCACTTTTTCAATAGTTTAGACTTAGATTTTTGGGAAATGATTCTTTTCATAACTATGTGCGTCTCACAGATGTGACCTCTGGCGTAAAAAGAACGAGCTTCTACAACCGAAAAAAATTTTAGAAACATAAATTGAATTCTGTCTAATTTACATGACACTTTATTCGAGAGGTTTCCAAGTTCATTTGAAATGTGGTCTTGCTGAGTTCATGATAAAGAGTGATGCATGCACCGTTGATACTTTCAATCAAATACTTTATATATTAGTCAAGGTTTTTTGAATATCCATTTCAGCGTCTCATTAAGTAATGGAGTTGAAAATTACTAATATGACTCTACTAAATATTATAGAACAACTCAAAATGTAGTGAGGACGGGACATGATGAACTATTGTGCCACAAATTGAAAGACGCTCCAACTTAGTCATCTTAATAATCGAGAAAATTTAACACCTTAAAATCAACTTCGCTTACAGTTTTTAGTAGTTTTTTCTTGGAAAGATCAACTATTATTACTAAATCAGTTTCCTCAGTAAGATGTCACTAATAATTTTTCAGTTCTTAAAAAAGTATTATTACCTATATCACGGACAAACATTAGCTAGGTAACCATTGTGATATTTTTCAGAGTTCTAGTGAGAAGCGGTGATTAGCGGACTTCAAGCTCTTTGTGTTTGACAGTCATCTACCAATCATACTGAAGTATGGTTTTACAATATCACAAACTAATTAAAATTGGAAACACCAGCCATTGAATTTCAACCTAGTAGCTTGAAGGGTAAACACCCTGCAGAGACACCTTAATCCACTTAGGTTCCATTCCAGACGAAGTTGTCAATGCACACTGCAAGAGTCCGTTGATAAGATAAAACATCTGCTTGGTTTTTAATGTTAATTTAGCCAAAGTTAGTCCATGAAATACAGAATGACATTCAACAATAATAGCGAACCCATATACTAACGTTATTGTAGTTACTTTTTTTGAATTTTAGGGCGAATCTAGCAGCTACGAGAACTGTGTGGTGGTGTCGAGCAATTTTTATTAACTTGTGTGTTTTCTTCGTGGTGTTTTTTCTTACTACTCCTACATATGTATTGAATTTAGTTAATACATTGCACTTAACTGAACGTCTACAAATTAATGTGAGTTTTCTTTCTTTTATACTATCATTATCATAGACGCTTTTTGCTACTTTCGTAAAAGTCACTACACGAAAAAAATTAAATTACTACTTAAGAGTTTCTGGAATTCAATGCCGATATAGAGTTTATTTTATACTTTGGTATATATCTATTATTTAAGTAATGATATCATTCATGAATCTCGTAAATTAGCCTATCATAGTGACTGATGATCTTGTAGTAAAAGAAAATTTGATGGGGAAAACCAATTTATAGTTTAATGCAAAATTGCAGTGTCTTCACAAAATGTGAAAACCATACATTAAATACTTTATTTGCACATCTTCCATCAGTTGTGTATTACAAACTTCATCATTCCTGTTGTTATTATAATTTTTCTCCCTTTACGTCCCTGTTGTCTACAAGTCGACCTTCTCAATCTCCTGCTGCCATCCATTCCATTTCTGATTAGTGTTATATACTTCTTATATCTGTCAACATATGTAGCATACACTACAATATGACTCTTGTTTGTTCACTCAATTTCGCCCTTGTCTTGGTTAAGCTGTTTTAAATGTTGATTAATTGGTTAGAAGTGATGACAGTGTGATTTTTTTGTATTCCCTTCTGCAATTTTTTTTAATAGAATAAGGATTTAGTACTCTGGTTCTTAACAATTCACCCCCCCCCCAATGTATCTACTTATTTTACCCATACACCGTTGTCGTTGTAGCTAAATAGTGAGAAGTTCATAGGTTTTTAATTACTGATTTTGTGAATTGCTATATCATACGTTGTTCTAATCAATTAATCAGGATTAAAAATACTATTAATTTGTTTAAGCTGTGTGATCCAACTATAAATTCTACTTTAATCCAGTAATCAAGTTTAACTATCATGATGATCTAATCTAGCTATGTTGACTGAAACCCATTATCCATTGAATACCTACTATATTTTCCAAGTAGATCAATAAAAACGAAAATACCAAGAGTAGCACGTTTCAAGTTCGAATTCTAAGTATTATCAGAATATGGGGAGAGAAAAATATGTTCTCAGTTAGCCAGCATATCTAGATTGACAGCTCCCTTCAGATTGATTTGAGGAGTAGTCAAGCTGCTCTTTTAAACACTATACATCCTTTACTGGGTTCAAAAACTGTGGGATTGATGCTAAGATTATAATAGATTAACGATCCTATACAGTCGGCTCGAATCAGTTTTACCGTCATGCTCATGTTGATGAGTGCTATCTAGGTGAATCTTCTTTTCACGATCCTTCACAAAAATGATCGTACACTGGAACTCTAGTCAATTTTTTCCATTGGATATGTATAATTTCCAAACCTGTTAAATTATATTTAAATGTCTGACTAAAATTGACTACAATTAATTGATCGAATGAAAATAGTAAGATACATTTGGAAGTTTTTGCTGGCAAAATGATTGATTTCAATAGAAACCACACAAAGGTGGTATCGGCAAAATGAAATGAAATGATATTACGCAATAAAAGACATAACCAACTGATTAATTTAAAAGCGGCAAATATTATGAAGAAAACTAAATTGTTCATCATTGCGTCAGACTGGTATCATTCAAAAGTTTACATCATGAACTGACTTCAGTTGAATACCTAGTGAGTATCAGGAAGCATTGGACAGTTGTTTTTTTGTCTTTGTATGAAGCCCTTCATCAATGTGCATCCACAAACCCACTGAGGATCATCATGTGAAGTCGTTCACGTGCATTGTTGAAGAAAAGTAGCTGTTCAATATTTTCTAGTTTTTAATAGTTGTCCTACTAACGTCAGTCCGTAATGTAAAAATATGTATTAACATTTTTGTTTTCTATATTTCTCATCCAATAGAATCCACTATTGATTCGATTTTTCCCATCTATTATTCTTTGGTCCGTGTCTGCTTTATTACCTTACATTGTATTCAATTCAGATCGACTTGTTGGTCATTGGACTAAATCTGTTTTACATTTAACTGTAATGATTAAAACATACACTTTATTAATTCTAATGATTTTAGTACTTCCATCACTTGGCCTTACATCGTAAGTCTTTTCTTTTGAAGTGATTTTATTCAGTTTTGTATGATATTAGAAGCTTATAGATATATTCTGTTTTGGGTGGAATAGCTTCCACAATGTTATAAGTATATAAAGGCCAACGGAATAGAAATATATCTGCATTCAAACTATTGTTTTTAAATATGAACTCATTTTTGCTAAATTAAAAGAGTGTTTATCTCTTCGTTTTGTTAGCCATTGTTATTTGTTTCATTTAGATTATTAGTTATTCAGCTATGAGCAACATTGAATCATTTCGCATTTGTGCATCGATGTGAGTTTACCACAAAACATTAGCACAGTGAAGTAAAATTGTCAAAGTGAGTACCAGAGTGATATGAACAGTAAGAGTATCAGTGGTAGTGGATAGAATTAGACCTGAATAACTCATTTGTAATGCCTAAGACCGTGAAGCTAGATAACATGGGATGTCATACGATAGAGAGCACCAGTTCTCTCAAAATTACAGGCATGCCTTGCTAACGCCTGTCAAATAGAGTAAAACCTATGTCCAAGGCGTCCTATCAACTACTTCCAATCAACTAACATCACAACATAGAACACCCAATGTCAAATCACTTAGACTAGTGGCCTCATTACAACTTGTTTGATAGAATTGGATCACCATTAAAGGACTAGACAAATATGATACCAATCACAATTCATTGTTAGATCAATAGTAAGGACTTATAAAGTAACCTAACTTTATTCCTTTTGACATGTTTGTAAGTATCATTATAAGGTTTGACTTGATAATTTCAAATAAATTGAGTATTAGGTGGACTATTTATTATAACAAAGTAATGGTATATTTGTAATATGCAAATGAGTTGGAAATTGAGTTCCTAACGTTTTACAATTTATTTTCTGTTGCTCTGTCTTTGTATCATTCATGTTTGTTTATTAAGTAACAAATATTGTCTGGCACACAAATTATTTCTGTCTTGAATATTAATTGAAGTTATTCATTTTCTCTGATGTTAGTCGTCATAAAATGTGTATGTGATCTGAATTACTCCCCGGGCACCTACACAAAAGCACGTGGTTTTCATAGGAGTCCACTAAGGTCTAATCCACAAGAGAATGAAGCAACGTTAATAACTGCCGTATCATCGTAGCGGGTATAGGTTCATACACTATTAAAGTCCGTGTGAAACTTCGGTTTAAAATCAGGGTTTTCCAATTCCCCTTATCTGAATCTTTTGTATCTATCAACTCTGATTAAGTGTTGGACATTCGCTTTTCGCCTTCTTTTTTTCTTTAAACAGCAATTCCACCACGTAAAATCAGCGAATAAAACGTCCTAACAGTCTGTAAAGTCATAACCATATCCTATCATATGCTACCCTGTCTTACCTTGGCATTCACAATGTAATCTTTGTATTCGTGTGGTCCATTCTACATCTGCTGTCGTACTGTATTTTTGTATATAAATAAATTGGTGTATAAGTAAACAACCTGTTCAAAATTTATGTATGTATTATGAACTATTTTCTTAACGTTGCCAGTAATATTTTTTTCTTGTGATTTTTCAATCTATCTGTAATAATAATACATATGAATATATTTTTAGAATACCTGCTCTACTTCAGTGGCTTTTCCCGGAAATGCATATCATACCACTTGTCCCAGCAAATAATGGTTCAAAAATTATTAATATTTCAACCATCAATAATATTACTAGTAATAATGATAATGCTACTAATAATAATTCAAGTACACCATCTTCATCGAGTCCATTTATTCCAATAGGACCACAGTCATTTCAATGGGAATGTGTTTTTATGCCAGATAATGGTGCTTTCTTTGTCAATTATGTAATCACTGCAGCATTTATTGGAACATCATTAGAACTTGTTCGATTTTCTGAATTATTTAATTATGCTTGCCGTCTTATGTGTGTTAAATCACAAGCTGAAAAAGCTGGTGTACGAAAGGTAAATTTTCTATTAGGTTTTCACTTATTCTTCTGTTTACAACTTCCCTAATTATGTTATTTTAATGAAAACGATTACTTAATTATTTACATGTAATTTGATAGTCATTTTCTAAATGTGTCCTGTCATCTGGTTTACATCACGGATCGATCTTAGACAACTGCTGGAAAGTAGGGAGCGCTAGTGATCTGTCTCGTTCTAATTTAGGAGTGTTCTACAGTGCGTATCTATATCGAGGGCTTAACCTTCAGACAACTGAGTTGGCATCCGATACTTTATATTCCCATCTTCAATCATTTCTCGATATTGCGCAACCATCTTCCAATGCTATTAGTGAGTAACTATTTTATAACCATTTCTTTTATTATCTTGGATCAATAATTATCGAAGACTCTTTCTTTATTAATAGGCTAGTCAATTTGAATTTGAGTTTGGACTGTTTTATGCATGGAGTTTATGCGTCTTCGCTGTGATCTGTGCATATAGTATTGTATGTCCGTTGATTACACCATTCGGTAAGTAGCTAACATTACTATAATTTATACATTGCATTATAAATGACATCGTCATTGTATTATTTGGTACAGTTTTGAAATTAAGTTTGGTCATTAGCAATGTTAGTAGTTTTTTTTGTAATAATATATTTTGTAATTTTCCTAGCAAAATTATTGTTTACACACATTATTTGTGCAATTGAACCATCTTTAGCCAGTATTCATTAAAGTTATGGCAAAATCTTTGGACGTGTTTTTCAAGTTTTCTCAATTTCATGGCTTAGTACGCTTTGTTGGATTTAGATGTATGTAAAAAGCCGTAACACTCCACTAACTTGGCGTAATTTTGTTGCCATCCTCAAATTAATATGAGTATAAAATGTTGGTTGTACAAATCTGGGATGCTAACATTTTCAATGAACACTTTCCATGCCTCCTCGAACTTACTGACGTCTAGTAGTGTGTTTATGATCAGAATATATATGAAGAATTAACACCATTTTCAATCATGAAACACAAAATTCCGTGGTTTAATCACGTTACATACATTTTGTCTTGATGCCTCCTCTCCTGTGCATTATTTAGTGACGCTGCATACTGAACAAATTAGTGGAAGAGGTGGTAGACGTTGTTACATGACGCTCTAGAATGAACGATTATTTTGTTGAATAGAGATCGACTAGCACTTCGGTGTAATTTTATGTTTTTTTAAAGTGTTTTTATTCTTTATTCAATTTGCTTTCTTATATTCATTTTTAGGTCTTATCTATTTAATATTTAAATATTTCGTAGAACGTTATAATCTCTACTATGCCTATTTGCCTAGCCGTATTGATTCCCACATTCATTGGCTTGCAATCAGTTGTATGTTAGCTTCTGTGTTTTTATTACAATTAAATATATTCATGTTTATTGTTTTACGTGCCAATACTGTTAGTCATGCCTTAGTAATTTGTTCATTATTGGGTTTAATATTCTCTGCAATATTAATAATTTTCACGATTGTTACTGGATGGATAATGGCTGGTAGTAGTTCAGCACGTAAACTTCTATTTAGAAATGCACATTTAGTCCCTACCACTGAAGATGTATTCGTTGATCAGCATAGTCAGTATAATAGTTCAGTCAGTGTTCAACGTAGAGGATCAAATTTGAACGAAATAACCAATGCAGTAAGTGTATTTTTTTAATTAATAGATTTATTATGTGCTTTTTAATTTTGTTTCAGTTTCAAAATTTGATTGATAAATTTCTTTGAAATCACGATCCTATTTAAGTTGGGAGTTCATGGGAAATCTCACAGCACTTGACAACCGTTTACCCTGGTATGGGACTACTCAAAAGTATGCATACATGACACTGAGAACGGCAGTTCAACCCCAGGGCCTTAAATCTCGCGTGCTGACCCCTAACCTCCAGACCACTGACTTGAGATCCGGTTGTGTATAAATCTAACTTCAATCAGTCCATGATATTGCACGGTCGTTTTCCAATTTCTTTAGTGGGTAACTTTTTTACACTCGACATGGTTGAACTCCTCTGGACATGGCTTTTCTTTTGAACATCGGAGATTTCTTTCCCAAACGAGTCATCAACATAGGCCACGGAAGATGTTCACACAATAGTGTAGATTGATTGATGTTAAAGTTTTACATTATTGGGTCCTTGCTCAGTGTTTGGGGGTTAGATGTTAACTCCCAATACGGATGGTTCTGAGTTAGATTCCCAGTTTCAATGTCCTGCATGTATAAGTTTGAGGAGTCCCATACTAGGTGGAAACGGTCGTCTGGTGCTTCCAGATTTTCAAGCACTTTATAATATCGTTTTTTAAGTCATAATTATCTAGATTCAACTAATGATTACTGTAAAGTGGGTGTATTTACAAAATAGTAGGGTTTTTTCGTAAAATCTATTTTTCACATTGTAGGCTTTGTCGTCTTATTAGCCTGGGGCTAAGTCAATAGTGTTAGCAAAGGAGTGACAGTTTTAAAGAGTAATTACATGTGTTCAGTTTTTACAAACTTCTGTGCATTCCCTATTGTGTTGATATTTTAAATCCTATATAGTAAACAAAAAGTTATAACATTATATCATTAAATAATAATGACCTCAGTGGTGAATAGAGCCTATACCATACAGTTCTTGTTATTTACTTCTAGTTCAGTAATGGTGGTAAGGATAGAAACACAGCTGACGGTTGGACAAAAGATACATAAATAATCATACTAGCTACAGTTTCATGGGTTATCCTATGGGAAAGGACTAAAATCACCTCACTATGGTAATGAGGTGCTTTGAAGAAGACAGGGAGAGAGAAAAGCTTTGTTGTCGTCTTCTAACGTATTGTTTTTGTTTGTTTCCACCTAATTGTAATAGTTTTATAAAATCATAACAAATTGTCTGGTAATTTTCTCGTAACTTGTATTATGCTCATGTCTGTACATATATTTATATGTAGAAATAGAGATACTTTGCTAGGTAACGATTATTATTATTGTTATTAGCTTTATTCAATATTATATTTTTGGTACAATATGGAATTATCAGCACAAAGTATTTCAACAAGTTTCCGTTTCTTACTTGGTCGATCGTGACAATAAATATTAAGTAATTGCCAGTTGAAAGTTAGCAGTTCAGTCAATCGACATTTAAATAATGTACATTCTTTTCCCTGCATATTGCCAGGAACCAGGATATCTCTGATTAGGTCTTTTGTAACTTGTACAGAGAAATGTAGTATACTTTCACAAATGCACCTGAATAGCTTATGCGATGATTAGTCATAACGATGTACTAAAACATACCAACTTAGATAACTTGTTGAAATATTTAGATGTCAGGAACAGCTAACCCAGATGTTCAGGCAGGCTGCCAAAGCATAGCAACGATACTCATCGTACCGATCAGTTGACATCACAGGTTATCTTACGTTTTTACCAATCTCTTCATTTAACTAATGATATTGTGTCATTATTGTTTGTCTGATAGGATTATACTAATTGCCTTATTTTATTGCAAATGTTACCGAATTTTACTTCGAGAAAGTGTATTTCTACTGCATAATTTCATTCCATAACTAATAGTAAGAAGCCTCTGTCTATAATCCATGATGAGTTTGGCATATATATGTTTAGGCTTCGAGTAGTAAACAAAAATAACAAATCAGTTGATGAATCTGTAAATTTTCATCGACTGGGGGGTTTTTTGACATTGATGTTCGTAAAAAAATAGATTTCTTGGGTGGGTGGTATTGGGTCTCGTGTGATTTAACCGTAATGACAGCAAAGAAGTTGTATTATCAATCTGTCTTTAGTCCAATAATCAATTAATTCAACCATGTTACCAGTAGGATCGGTAACCATCCAAATACCAACTGACATATTGATCAATCAATAATAACTAAGACCTGAATGCTCATCGGTCTTTGATTTCCTTCCAAACCAGTGCCCAATCAAATGATGAAGCTCAAAAGCAGATCAGTTTTCTGTTGTACTTAGTTCAGTCGTGATTCAAAACTTATACAATAATATATATAAAATCCCTGACCACACAGCGAAACAATTTAGGTGTTACAACGTGTTCACAACTCGATCATAAGTGATATAATACCAGAGTTGTTGGGGAATAATTAAAGAATGATAAATCTCAAATAATAAGACTTGACAACGATTTATGGGTCAAACAAAAGCTTAGAAATTGCAGAATAAAAATATACAACATTGTAAGCGTCTACGAACAATATAATAATATCTTAAATAATAATCCTTCGTATGATAGTTTCCAAAGTTATGTCTCCACATTATTCGTCCCACTACATCAGTTACATATTGACAGGAGATGTTAACTGGTGTAGAAGTTAGTTGGTGGGGAGCTTGTTTGTGACCAAATTATGAAATCATTCACTGTTGGTCTGAACTTTTCTGATAGATGCAGACTACCTAGTTGAGGTCCACGTTATATAATCGGTCACAATAGCACTGATGGTTTCATTTCTAATCTCAAACAAGATCCTGTGTTCGAGCATTCCTACATACATACACACACTTTCATTCTGTTTTTTCTTTAGCTATCTTCTCAATGTTTAGTCTTTCCTATCGTAGTTCCTACTACATTATTTAAACTCTTTTACCATACATCTTTCTGATTGTATTTCGTCGTGCTAATACATACTTATACCAGGCTCTCCATTGATTGTGATAAACTAGTTTAAAGTGTTTCAAAGAAATAATCGAAGTATAATATTATCGATATTAAGGTTAGAAGTGTTTGTGAAAATTATTCATTCAAAACCCAATGAAAATGCATATAAATAATATTCGGTCGTTTATTGTGTTGTAATTCACTAACATTTTAACACAATAGTTAACAAATACAAGTTCAGATCTATTATTTTATCCACGTTATTTATTTTCATTTATCTTGTCAGCTTGGTGATCGAAAATCATTGGTCGATGCTACTTTTCCTATACATAGAAATAACAGTGATCCGAATCAATTTACTCAACCATTAACACTAGAGAAATCAGAATCTAAAAATTTGATCCGTTCTGTTCCTGCTTCACCATTAATACCACCTCCATCACCTCCTCTTACTCCTCCTACATGTTCTTTACAAGTATTTAATAGAAATGATTTAATTAGACATTCATATCCGGTAAGAATTGATAGTAAAGAACAATTTGTTGCACCGGTTTTATTACATTTACAAAAAAGACATAGTGTAGCTAATTATATGAGTACACAATCTATGATTAGTTCACTATCAGAGAATAATTCTAATCATCCATCTCAATCAGAAGATCATAATAATTAAATGAAATACATTCAGTATTCTTTCTACTATTCCTTTTATAACAACGAGAATGTTACGAAAACAAATCTGTTTCACAATTATTACTAGAGGTATATATATATATCTTTGTTTATTTAACAAACCAATTTGTCTTTGTATCACTTTCTTCAGTAATTATTGATCATTCATTTTCATGTTCATGAACATTATCACCATCATCATCATGAAGATGATCATTGCCGTTTGCTGTTTGAATTTAGATTTCTAGATTTTTCTATTTACTTTTTCATTTGTTATTATTTATGTAAATTTTTGTTTGTTTTTCTCTCGTAATTATAGTTTATTCATATGATTTTCTTTCATTTATGCTTATCTATAATTGAATAAAATGAATTATTTTATAATTGATTATAATATAACAGAAGAATGTTTCTTTCTTTGAGTTGAATACTTTTGGGTACTTACTTACTTTAAGCATACCTATGAACTCTCTTCTATGTCACCGTTGTATATATATATATATATATATATATATATATATATATATATATATATATATATATATATATTGATTGTGATGACAATAATGATGATGATGGTTAAATGAATGTGCTTATCATAATTAGGAGGGAAGAAAAAAGAATATTCCGAAATTATATCTGCATTTTGTTCTCTTTGCTTTTGTCTCACTTTTGCACTCTTTATCTGTTTATCTATTATCCTGTTCACAATTTGAATGTAACTTGCTTGTTGCTATTTTGTATATGTACGCGTGGCAATATCATTTATTGTTTATTTAAGGTTTAATTAGGATAATCATAATGTTTCAAAGAAAAACTGATGATTTCATTTTGTTTTCTCAAATTTGACATTGTTCGTTTTTTCTAAAAAATAAAACATATGAAGAATAAGGTTGTTCATTTTAGTTTACTTCTTGTCGTTTTCAGTTGATTTTCTTGTTTTCTTTATATATATATGTTATGACTTTATGTCCGGCTTTTTATCACGTGGTTTATCTACCAATCAAAATACGACTTATACAATCTTAGCACTGTGCCAAAACCAATGACTTTCGACCGGTATGAGCAGCCTAGCGTCCTTATTGGTCCTATTTTCGCCTAGCCCGTCCACTTGAGTCCAGAACGTCAATACCAGCTTGCACTATGCGAATCGAATCGTTTATTTCAGACATACTGGGTTTATATATCAAACAAAGAGACCGCAACGCACCATAAAATAGGAAATAACATTCATACACAAATAAACCAATAAGTGGCTGTGAACGTGGGAGGCAGTAGTCAATAAACTGAACATAGCTTAAGAACAGTAAATCGTACAATAATAAATTATAGGTCAAAATAAAGCTTATAACAAGAGGAATATAGCCATACATGATCTAGTTACCGAATATTTATACCATGAGAATATATAAGTAATAGTAGTCCATCAATAAGTCTCAGAAGTTACTCGTGATTTAGTCTTCGCTCGGATATAACAATATATATACCAACAAAATAGTAGGTGATATACAGTTCATATGGAGATGTCTTGTTCAGAATCGGGAAAACAATATTTAGGTTTTCTGTCCGAAATTCAATTATATATATATATATATATATATATATATATATATATATATATATATATATGTAAAATTAGCGGTAGAAATACTTTCATAAATATGATATTTAAATATTATTCCTTGACCGTCGTAGAGTGAAAATGGTAATGTTTAGAATAACAATTGCTCAATTGTTTCTATATACACTGTATATGAAGGTTAAATCAACTGGAATCCTAAGGTAAAGCTTGACTCAGTGACCAGTATATGATTGAACTAATCGGATTATTCATCCATATTGCCTACAGAATATTTTCGTAACATCATTAAAACTCCTTAGTGATAAATACTCTAATCAAAGATAATTTGGAGCTTTAAAAATCTATTTCGGTCTTTATAATGATTAAAGAAGGTAGATTATCTAAGTCCATAAGGTCGTATTTACGTGTTGTTCCGAAATACAGACAGAGTAACCTATAAATGGTCTAAATAAGTTCGGTAATTTTGTAGGAACTATTTACACATTTTAGTAATACTGTCTTCTGATCGACTAAGAACTGGCTGAAAATTCGTCGCAGTTTACTTTTAACTCGTCCATTTACTATACTTTTACTATATAACTTATAAGTGGTAAGAATGCTTAGTTCCAAATAGGATACTATTCTGTTTTTCCCCTTTCCCGACTTAGATGCAAACGTTAATAGGAAAATTTATTAGCAAAGAATAATAAGTATTGTTTTAAACAAACAAGAATTGTGTATGAATATATTTTTTGAATCTAAAAAGGTGCTACATATTGGCATATTAAAAAAGCTATGGATTCATAAGAAATGTGAGTCTTTGGACATGGGTAGATATGTAGGATGACATTAAAAAAAAATCAGGTTTACCTAAAGGAAACGATGAATAAATGGTCAGTAAGCGTATTCCGTCCATTTAACCAAACAGGGAAGTGCGCATCAGCGTTGCTTTAGTCCATTATTTAAAAGTGATTGAATGTTCTTTTTTGTATATATGCTGGTTATAAAATGTGTCTATGTGTTTATAACTATAAATTGGAATTCAGTGCTTAAACATCGTATTGTAGAACAGTGACTTAGCGGTTAAAAAGTTAGTTTCAACTAATAGATTGCAAGCTTGGTCCCAACTTCATGTATTTTGGTTTGGGCGACTGGATGGTGGCAGTCTTTTAACTTCGTAATGATAATTTATAGAAGTTAGCATTTTGTATATTATGCATAAATATCTATACGAGTATAGTAAACACTAGTCAGAATTCAGTAGAAGTTTTTTATTAATTATTTATTTATTTTAGTAAGTTTTACAATCTTACTCCTGTTACTTCTCGTGGAGAAGTATAAACCACCCACCAGGATTCTCTGCCTGTGACTCTTCTTGATTTAATGCCGGTCCCCAGCCCGGAGAAAGGAGGAGGGTCGGGGACGGAGTCAGCAACCCTATCCTGTCCTCTAATTTTTTGATGAGATGAATTTCTGAAATGATAAAATGTCTTCAATAGGAAATGAAATTAGATCATCTTTCTCTAACGAGGTCTTACTTTTGATATTTAAATAAATAAGTCAACATATATTACTCTAAAATTTGGGAAACAGTAGTTTTGAAAATAATAACACGAAATTCGTCCCCACTCGTGTTCTGTTCACTACATTACGAGTTAAGAGTTTGTCATTCTGTGAAGTAGAAAGATAACTACTAAGAGTTAAAGTAATCTGTTTCATTCTCACCCAATTTATTTCATCTGTAATGCAAAACATTTGTCCATTTTATTACAGTTAGTTGATCTAGTCAAATCTTGAAAACACTTGTACTTCAGCTGAATAACTGATGTAATACAATCTAAATAGTTTCACTGCCTTGAAATAGATTATTTCGATATAGCATATATTGTATATTATTATTATTATTATTATTATTATTATTATTATTATTATTATTATTATTATTATTATTAGTAACCGATTCTATTGTTGTTTGGCAAGAAATTCGAGTCTACTCCTATTCTCTAACTGATGGTATATAGTTTAAAAAAAATAGAATTGTGTTTCTATTATTGCAGACTGAATTCATAATACAGAAGTATTGCTTCTCAATAAATTGTTTCTCATGTAATTTTATGTTCTTTTAATGAGGAGCGTGAATAATAATGGCGTTCATGAGTAGTTAATTAGCTATTTTAATAATTTATAGGGTTTCGATAATCATTATTGTACTGTCGAACCTCTCAAGACATTTCATATATTTTAAAAGTTTACATCGTAAGATATCCTTGATTTGAAATGACCATTTTTTGTGAGATCATTCAACTCCCTCTTATGTACCAGCGATTTCTTGTCTATCGACTGGACAAATTCTAACCAGAATTCTTTGGAAATTTTCAAAGAATTGTTGAATGATGTAATGACAGCTATTTCTGTTATTAATGATAAATAGATACAGTTTGTGTGTGTAAAACTTTCACTTGCATTGAATATGCTACTTACTTACCTATGCCTGTTACTCTTCATGGAGGAGTATGGAAATGCCATTTTCTAAAAAAATTTTTATTATTTAGTGTTATCCGGCAAAAAAAGATGAATACAAGGTAAATACAAGACATTGATAAAATCAAGAGCTTTGTGGAAATTGTAGTAATTTCAACAGTTGAGATCATGAATCAATTGAAACCTGGAAACACCAGACGGCCGTTTCGTCCTATTGTGGGACTCCTCAGCAGTGTGTATCCACGACCCCGCCTCGCGGGATTCGAACCCCTTCTGAAACTAAGCAACATATGCTCACTGGTAACTGGCTTCAAGAGGTATATCCTGGAGTTCTAGTGAGAAGGAGTGACCAGTGGAGTTCAACCGGGTCAGGTGTGAGATAGGAACTCACTGATGACAATGATGGATGTGTCGCTCAATTTCGTGGATTGGTTGAATTTAGACATTAACACCGTTGGATGCCGGCTCAGTGGTCCAGTTGGTTAAGCGCCTGGCGCGAGGCCGATAGGTCCTGGGTTCGAATCCTGTGAGGCGGGATCGTGGATGCGCGCTGCTGAGGGGTCCCATACTAGCACGAAACGGCCGTCCAGTGCTTCCATGGTGGTCTAGCTTTAATTGACTCATGATCTCAACTGTTGATATTGATAAGAACAAAATGAATGAATTGTATGAATCCAATGTTTGTGATCATTGTCACTTAAGAGGATTTATCACAAACTAAGTTAATTTACTATAACGGTGATGAATTACACAGATAACTTGGTATTTTTTAAATTTAGAGATCGGATCAATGAATATGTTCTTCTAATGAATGGTTATTTAAGTGTGAAGAGTCTTTCATTCGACGAACAGTCATACATACTTAGTGTATTTGTTTAAAATAATTCATAGTCAACATTAAACCAGATAGAAATATGCGTTAGCCTAAGTTATCATACAGAGACATCATAATGAGATCAAATTAATAAAGTAAGTAGAAAATGAATCGAAATATATATTTCAAATGGTTAG